CTGAAGCAAGGTCCTGGGCCACACTACCACTTGAGTTGCTGGCTCAGAACTTTCAAACACTCTTTCCCCTGCCAGCCCAAGTCACCTTGCAAATCTCACCCAAATGGAGCATTTACCTTATTAACTCTCCTTTGACACCTACCCTGTTTCCTGTTAACCGATGTCTAGTGCAGTAGCCAAGCAATCAACCTTGTTTTGAGGATAGGCTCTGCTGCAGGCCTTCAGTTTTGAAGCAACCAAACATTCCAACAGAAATTGACCCCACTGTGTCTTATTGTCAGAGGAAACAACGCTCAAACCATTCCTGCTGCCACAAGTTAGGTACTAGATATAGCCTACAGGTGTCAAACAACATGTAAAGGAAATGCTCCTTCCACATCCTAAACTTGTCTCAGCCTATTGGAGAGGGCCTGGGAAGAGAGGGATTAGGCATGAGTGTGAAGGAGTCTGGAGTCAGCTTCCTCACTTGTAAAGCAAGATCCATATACTTACCTACTTCATTGACTCCTGAGAACTAACTGAGGAAAAGCGTGAATGCTTAGAAAAATGACTACTACAGAGTATGCATTAGGTAACGTTAGATGCTTTTATTATCATTATTTTACAAAATTATAGTAGTATGAACTTGAAAAACAGGAATTTGCTCTTCTCCAGCCACAGTAACACTGTTTTTGCAGCAAACTCATTTCTCTCTCTCTGCCTTTGCACTTGTTGCTCCCTCTGCCTGAAACGTTCTGCTTCCAGCTCTTGGTTCATTCCAGTCTCTCAGCTCATGTGCCTTCCCTGACCATCCAAGCTGAAGTAACCATCCCTTCCTCACCACCAGCTCTGCCCCATCATCCATGCTCTAGACCAGTGATGGCGAACCTATGACATGCGTGTCAGAGGTGACACGAGAACTCATTTTTTTGGTTGATTTTTCTTTGTTAAATGGCATTTAAATATATAAAATAAACATCAAAAATATGTCTTTGTTTTACTATGGTTGCAAATACCAAAAAATTTCTATATGTGACACAGCACCAGAGTTAAGTTAGGGTTTTTCAAAATGCTGACACGCCGAGCTCAAAAGGTTCGCCATCACTGCTCTAGACCCTCCCCCTCTCATTTCACCCACTATACTTAAAACCATCTGAAATTACCTTATTTTGTCTCCCTCGCTAGAATATAAACCCTAGGAGAGCAAAGAGTTTGTCTGTCTTGTTCCCTGACTAGGGTTTATGCTTTTAACCACTATGCTACACTGCCTATGTACCAGGATGCTCAATGGATGTGTTTATGAAAGTAAAATCCCCCAAACAACCTAAATGTCCAGCAATAGAAGAAGGGTGGAATAAAGCATGGTCTCTCCATGGTGAGAAGAACGTGAGTCTAGCAGTTAAAAGAATGAGTCGGGCCTGTGTGTAACCCGACTAAGGGAGATGCCCTGTCAGTAATCGAAAAACTCAAGTTACAAATATATGTGACTTGACCCCACCCTCCTTTTTGGGAGTGAGAGGGAGAAGAAGCAGACAATCAATAATGCACATATACATCCCTTTAAGCACAGAATAAGGAGAGCGAATCCACCCAAATCCCCAAGGGCAGAGTGCATATCCATTTTGTTCACTACTAAATCTCCAAACCCAAACAATAAACACTTAATAAATACTTGCTGTTGGAATGAATGGCTATCCCTGGAGGAGGGAAATTAGAGTGGAGGGTGGCACCCATTATTTTCCTTATACATCTCTGTATTGTTTGACATAGTATTACAATGAGCATGTATTTCTTTGCATAACTTTTTAAAAGTCAAATTCTACCCATTCTCACACACATAAATTAAGGCCATGAGCAGGGCAGTCCTAAGAAACAGGAGCAATATCAGTCTTATGGAAAGCTAAAAATAAACCACTTTACCTTAAAGGAAATGACTGTTTAATTCTTTTATTAAAACACAAACACATATCCTAGCTGGTTTGGCTCAGTGGATAGAGAGCATCGACCTGCGACTACAGGGTCCTGGGTTTGATTCCAGTGAAGGGCATGTACCTCGGTTGCAGGCTCAATCTGATCTCCAACCCTGGTTGGGGCTCATGTAGGAGTCAACCAATCAATCTGTCTCTCTCACATCAATGTTTCCCTCTCTCTCTCTGTCTCTCCCCCTCCCTTCCACTCTCTCTAAAAAAATCAATGGAAAAATATGCTGAGGTGAGGATTAACAACAAAAAAGAACAAACCAAATAAATAAGAAAATAAAATGATTTGGCAAATTTTAAAAAAATTAATTCAGATTTTGTGAGTTAAACACATAACAAGGTTAAGCTGTTATCATAACCTGGGTCATTTTTTAAACCTCTGAAATATATCAGCAAAATCTGCTTTACAGAAAAAGGGCACCAATTACTGCACTTCTAAATTCCATTTTTTTACTTACCTAACAACTGCAATGTCTGAAAAACAAGCTCACATTTAAATCTTAGACCAGTCCACAAATTGCTAAAAAACCATGTGTTGTCCCTAATAATTAAGAACAAACATTTTTTAAATGTCACTGCTTTATTTCCTCAGATTAAAAAACATTTAGGTAAATTTGATGGCCATTACAAATTTAATTGAAACCACGGGTTCCCAATAATGGGTTTCTGACAACAGGCTCAACCTAAATGAGCATCTAATAAATTCCCTTCCCAGTCTGTTTCCAGTGTGCTGCCTCCTGAAATGCTAAGTAGGGCCACCTTCCCATACAGAATATTCTAACTTGCTGACAAGGTATGACTTTTTAGAAAGAAATGAACAATTCAGACAAGCTTTGTCAGGCTAAAACTGTAGAAGTGGGTCCCCTGAAAGCAAAGCCTTGACACCACACCTGTTGCCATTGCAGTCTGGCCAAATCTGTATTGTCTTCTCTGTTCCTCACTAATACAATGTTGCACATACATTAATCCTTGGCAACTTCAAAGAAACAACTCAACCTAATCGGAAAAGGCCACCAGTGGCTCAGGAGGACTTTCAGTGTCCATGAGATGGGAAACCAAGGTTCGCCAAAGAAATGATGTTTCCTGGAAATGGCAGCTCAATCCTTCTTGCCAATCAATTAGACCTGGGAAGGCTGGGAGAGAAGAGCAACTTCCAAGTTTCTGGCTTGGGCAATTGGGTCAATGTTGGCCCATTTGCCAAGATGGTGACTACTGGTTCTGGGAGAAGAGGTTTAGACTGAACATGTTGAGTTCATAGTACCCAAGGGACAAGTCACCAGGGGACATCAAGGAAGCACAGGTATCAAGGAGCTCAGTGGGCTAGTATAATTTTGAAACAAAGTGCTGACAGAACTGGGATGGTCATAAAACACTGGAATGAATGTGCTGACTTGGGGGAAAGAGTGTATGAATGAGCAGGAGGCTGTTGATAGCAGGTCAGCACCATCTCTTCTCAGGTCCTTATACTGCAGTATGTTCCACAATTTAACCTTTAGTGAACAAAAATGGGGGAGAGGGGGGCAATAACCTTGTTTCTGTTCTGCCCAATGAGGCAGCAGCAAAGGTCTATCAAGAAAAACAAGATAGCCCTAACCAGTTTGTCTCAGTGGATAGAGCCTCGGCCTGCGGACTGAAGGGTCCCAGGTTCAATTCAGGTCAAGAGCAGGTACCTTGGTTGTGGGCACATACCCAGTAGGGGGTGTGCAGGAGGCATCTGATCGATGTTTCTCTCTCATCGATGTTTCTAACTCTCTATCCCCTTCCCTTCCTCTCTGTAAAAAATCAATAAAATGTATGTTTTAAAAAGAAAAAGAAAAACAAGATACATTCAGTGCTTACTATGCACCTGGCCCGGTGCTTAACACTAAACATTAATTATCTCCTGAGATCATCAAAACAAGCCTGGCTCAAAAGTCCTATGACTGCCACTTCACAGATGGGATACTGAGGCTGGAAGTGAATGTGGGGAGGAGCTCAGGGCTGTCATGTCACAGCCCACAGTCAGGCAGCCTCTGGACCAGATGGAGAACACTGAAGAAAAACAATTATTCTACATAAGAGCTGTTACTTAGTGAGAGAATACAACCTCAGCAAATCCTTACAACCCTCTGAGGCTGATATAACAAATGAGGAACATGAGGCTGCAGGAAAGGAAGTAAACTAGACCAGTTGTGAATCTATCCCAATGGGGAGACCAAGGCTATAGCCAGAGCCCAAACCTCAAAGTGTCTCTGGGGCACTGGAAAAACGCTGAATAAAAGGGACCATTTAGTGAACGCTATGTGCCAGGTGCTGCTCTACGTACTTTACACATGGTATTCACATTGCATCCTCAAAACAACTTTATGAGGTGACTATTAAAATCCCCATTTTATAGATCGGAAAACCAAGGCACACATTGGTGGAGTCAGTTCACAAGGTCGCACTGCTGGTAAATGGAAGAGCCTAAATGTGGTCTCTCTGCCTCCCAAACCAAAGCTCTTAACAAAATAATTTCAGCCAACTCTGCATTGACTGCTAACTATGGACTCCGCTTTTCACACGCACACCCTCAACTAATCCTATGCGGTTGCTAACACCTTCACCCCATTTCTTCGGAGCTAACAATAGCGCAAACACGTAATAAGTGCACTCTGTGTGCCAAACGCTTTACTCGCCAGATCTCAACATCTCAAAAGAATTCCCAGCGAAGGGCAGATCCTCTTCTCCCCCCATTTTACCGAAAGGGGAAACTGGGGTTCGGCACGGTTTCCCTAGATCGCAGCTCCGGGGAGTGGCAGAGTCAGGACGCGAACCCACTGCACCCCGACTCCCACTTCATGCTCTTCCGCACAGCGCCGGGTAGCACGTCTAGAAAGTTGAGCCATGCGGATACGAGCCCTTCCAGGTCCGGAGGACGCGAGTCCTAGCGCCGCCGCCCCAAAAACTGGTGCCCACACCCGGCCGGCCGCCAGCCCTCAGAGCACTCCGGCTCGCGCTCCAATAGACACCGATTCCCCGCCATCCTTAAGTGAGGCCGCCCCTACTCCTAGAGCCACGTACCTGGGCGTCCGGCTGGGCCCCACGACGCCAGCGTCCGGCCCCGCACCGTCCGCTAGAGACGCCGCCAGCTTCGGTGGCCCGAGTGACTTCCAGGCTGCCCACTTCCAAGCCGCTTCGCGCGGAGCCACCTGGGAACTGTAGTTTCGCCCTAGGCGGCAGCAAACTGAAAAACGCCTGGCGCGCAGGTGCCGCGGGAGCGTAGGCGCAGCACCGCGTCGCCTTCTGGGAATGGTAGTCCACCTGTCGCCTCCCCGCCGCTCCAACCTTCAGAGCACTTCCGCAGCCCCTAGCGGAGTGAGGGACAGAGGCATATCTTCTGCAGATTCCAACACGGCTGCCACGCTCCTCACTTCGCGAGGGAGGTTTTTCTCTTTCTTCCAGCCCCGTCCGCCTCCTTCCTTTCGGCGAACCTTCTCCCTCCCTCTCCGCTAGGCGCGAGGTACTTACGCCGAGGACGCGTGCCTGGGGAAAGGCGGGGACAGCACAGCGCTAGACTCCCAAAGGAGTGGAGCGGCGGCGAAGGACATCTGTGCGTGTTCGCCGGCCAACTCCGGTCTAAATTACCGCGGGCCCCGCGGGAAGGACTTTTTTTGCCTTTCGAGAGCGAGTGCGCGCGCGCGCGGTATCTCGCGCCGGGCTTTTTACTGACGGCTGCGGGCCAGTGCGCAAGCGTGCTCACTCCCCTCACGGGGTCAGTTTGCCGGGCGCGAGGTGGGAAGGCCAACCGCTGTGTCCACCCTTGTCCTCCCAAGGCATTCCCCAAGGTCGGTCCTCAGGCGCTCCTTCTACGTCTGGTCCTTCACCTAGGAGCTACTAGGTGTGCGGCTTCACACGCCATAGCCGTCCCTTCTTACGAGCCCTGTCGCAGGTAATAGGCGCGTCCCGAACTTGAAGAGGCAGACACTGCCTCCTCCCCGGCCACCCGGAGGGCCGGGACGCCCGAACGTGTAGAGAGGGACTCAAGTGTGGTCGCCTTTCCCCCGTTTAGGCAGCTCCAGAGCTTTGCCTTCGAGGGGAGCCTCAGGAACACCACCCAGAGGTCTGCCCGGAGGCCTTGTTATCTACCGTCCATTTGTTGAAAATACATTCTGAGGGAGACTAGTATTTGTTGAGTACCTATGGCCTGTGAAATTTCCTCCAAATTTAGTACACTTGCTCACGTAATCAATAGCTGGACCCTTTAAAAAAGGGGGGGGGGGG